CATTTCCTGGCTCCCCCCGGCCAACAATGGCTAAAAATGTCACAGTGGGGTGGCAGGCCACACACGAGAGCCAGCTCTAGTTGTCACCTGGCCTCCTGAGTAATTCTAGTCTCCAGTCAGAACCATTGGGATGGAGGGACCTGTAGAGAACCTACGTATTTATAAAACCCAAGGGAAAATCATGTGTATATTCACTGCTAAGGAGTCAAAAGACAAATAATGGTAAACAGTGGGTAATTTAACTTTCAGCATTTTACTCTCTGTCAAGTTACTTAAATGTTGAACTATATTGTTCAAGAGGACATAAATGTTTACATGGGAAGTTTAAAATTGGTGGAAATATGGCTGACTGCAGAGGGCAGGTCGTTTGGGCAGGCACAGAAGCAGGACTCCAGGCTGGGAAAATTCTAGAACCTGCTGCCTGCTCACCTTCATTGACCCTGGAGGCTGGGAGAGGTGAGGAAAGGCCTGGGGCTCAGGCTGCCCTGGCTGGCTGCTCCCTGGCCACTCTCAGGAGCTGGGACCCGCCCTAGTCCAAGTTGTATGCCCCCTCCGTGGCGGGCGAGTCATTCACATTCTCATTTTATGTTTCTGCTTATACCAATCTATATGCTGACTATTAAAGAATTGAAAGAATATGTAAAATTATATATATGTAAAAAAGAAAAAAGATAAAAGTCACATGAAGTCCTGAGATAAACAATATTCGTATCTTAGGAAATATCTTTTTGGGGCACTGTTTTGCATTAACACCCACACCACATACAAGTTTTTCAACTTTTTTTTTTTTTTGGTGGAAAGGGGGCTTCCACCTCCCTTTTCTATCTCCACCACCCCCACCAGTAACCAGAGGAAACAACGAGGTGTGCGTCCTCACAAACCTCTTCATGAGGTATAAACACATGTCCACATGCCCACACTGGGCTTTCTCTTCTCCTTCTCGGGGTTTCCAAATCCGGGACGACCGCGTGGATTCCTTGCATTCTGCTCTTCTCACGTACTGGCACGTTGTAGAAAATCCTCTGAGCCTCACTGGTACAGATCTAGCACATGCTTTTAAACAGTTGCGTCATATTTTACAGACTTTCAGAGTGTGGATTTATTCAACAATTCCCCAATTCGTGAGCAATTACAAAGCTTCTTTGTTTTTTTTTTGCTGCTTCAATTTTCACTGCAATTAACATTTTGATATCTCACATATTCCTATATAATGATGCTTTATTACTCTGAGAGATTTCCATAAACTGGGATTATATATCAAAAGGTATGTATAATTTTTTATTTTAATAGAACTTGAAAGATTACTTTCCAAAAGGTAGGTAATATTTCATATTTTATTTGTTCAATATTCATTAAGCTCTTACACAGTGCCAAGCACTGTTTAACAATTAGGATTCAACAAGGAGTAAAACAAAGATCCCAGACCTCCTGGAGTTTTCGTCCTACAAATGGAGTGGAAAGAACAGATAAAATGACGATAGCTTTAATAAATACTTTTGTACCAGAAATGTAGAAAAGCACAGTAGTCCCTTGCTTTAATCAACAACTGGTATTATCATTCTTTTCATTTTTCCCTAATTTATTGAAGTAATGTGATATTTCATTATCTTAATTGACATTTTCCAATCGGTACATAATTTTAACGTTTTTTATATGTTTATTTAGATATTTGGATTTGTTTTGGGTGAACTGCCTATTGGTAATCACACATTTTTCTACTGAGTGGATTGTAGGCTAGACCCATACTTCTTGTCAATGTTCATGAGCTCTGTGTGTGTTATAAACAGACATTTATCTGCTGTCTGCTTTGCAAATCTTTCCCCCAGTCTATTGCTTATCTACTGACTTCATGATGGTTTATTTTCCCATCTAATACTGTTACGTTAATGAATTTGTCTTTTTGTTGTGACTTCTTTTTGTCCTCTCAGCTTCTGCCTGTTCTATCTCTGTCAGGTCTTATCTCCAAACTCTCGCTCATATAAATTATTTCCTGAATTTTCTTCCAATTAAAATTTTTTATTTTTCTTCCATACACCTCGAATTTATCTTTTAATGTGGCATAAGGTAGGGGTCCAGTTCTATTTTTTTCTAGGTAGGTAGCCATTTTCCCAATACCTTTTATTACAATAAACCCTCAATTCTCCACTGAATTAAAAGGCCACTTCTTACAGTTCCCATATGTACTAGAGTCTGTTTGCCTGGTTATTGTTCTGCTCCAATAGGTATTTGTCTATTCTTATTTCAATTTATGCTGTTTTGATTATAGTCTTTTTTCCCCATAATCTTAAAGTTACGTTAAAACTATATTGTCATAGAAATTGTCAGATAATTTTATCTAATTAAAAATTGTAATTTTTATTGAAAATATATTTAATTTACATTTGGAACAAGAAAGATTTCATAATCAAGAAACAAAAGACATTGCACAGCCAGTGTGGGTCAGTCCCATGCACCAAGAGGTCACTGGTTTGATTCCCCATCAAGGCACATGCCCAGGTTTTGGGTTTAATCCCCAGTAGGGGACGTGCAGGAGGCAGCCAATAGATGTTTCTCTCTCATTGATGGTTCTATCTCTCTCTCTCTCTCTAAAATCAATAAAAACATATTTAAAAAATAAAATAAAATACATTGAAAGAATTATAAAACACTGCTATGTAGAAGTTTATGGAAACAAACTGCAAAATGTGAAGAAAATTAAAGCTCTCCAATAAATCACTTAAGTCATCAAAATGGTGCAAGAAAGAGGAGGGACTGGAAACAGATAAAACCAGGATATGTCTGGACAGATAAATTTCTGAAGAAGAAATTAGAAATGTATTTAATGGTCTACTATTTAAAAGGGCCTGAGGAACAGATGACTTATCGGCTAAATTCTTATCTAGCCTTTAAAAAACAGATAATCCCAATGTTGTTAAACTATTCAAGACCAAAGGGAAAAAGACAAAAGTCTCCCTGGTATGTGTTACGAAGCCAGCATCATCTTCATGGTAATGCTTCATAGACAAATCCCATGTGAGAATATAGAGTCTCACTTGAAATAAAATATTTGCAAAAGATGATCCATCTATGTATCAAAAACACTAATGAACAGTAACCAAACAGCTTTTATTCCAAAATGCAAGGATGTTTTAACACCAGAAAATTGATCAACAAAATTTATTACCTCAACAAATTAAAGAAAGACTATCATACCAATAGATACTAAATAGATACCTGATAAAATTTAGTAGCCATTCCTAATATAAACCCATAATCCTTTATTCAAAATTCTGACACTCAAAAATTTCTGAAAACTAAAACATTGACCTGTAACTTTGCACTGTATTTTATCTGATGTTAAAGCTGCTCTGAACTGACAAAGAAACTATTTAAATATGAAAAGTATTAATTTTTTTTAATTTTATTTTTGTTACAGATGTTTCTCCTTTTTTCCCCATTGACACCCTCATCCCCATTCCCCCCACCCCGTCCCTGGCTTTGTTGTCCGTGTCCATTGGTTATGCGTACATGCATATAAGTTCTGTGGTTTATCTCTTCCCTCCCCCCACAACTCCCTCTCCTCAGGGTTGTCAGTCTGTACCCTACTTCCACGTCTCTGGGTCTACCCTATTCCTCAGACTATTATGTTCATTATATTTCACAAACAAGTGAGATCATGTGATATTTGTCCTTTTCTGTTTGGCTTGTTTTGCTTAGGATAATATTTTCCAGGTCCCTCCATGTCATCTCAAAGGATAAGAGATCTTTCTTTCTTACAGCTGCATAGTATTCCATTGTGTACATGTACCACAGCTTTTTCATCCATTCGTCTACTGATGGACACTTGGGCTGTTTCCAGATCTTAGCTATTGGGGAAAGTATTATTGTGGGTTTTTTTTGTTTTGTTTTTTTTCACAAATGTACAGTATTACATGTTCTGTAGGCAAACATACTCAAAGATACTTCTGGATTATTTGTGGCTCCCTGTCCTGTATTCAAAATTATTATAGTCTTTTATATTTTCAAGTTGAGGAGAAATAATATGAGGCATGTGCCTACAATTCTCTGGGGGGAAAAATTACCATGTTTCATTGAATCTAAGATGCCATTACTTGGAAGGCTAGCGTTTATTTAATGTATCACTAAAAGAGATACATAAAGGTGATGGGCCAGGTGTGAGTTGGAGTGGGGTGGTCTGGGGTCAGCCAGGCTCCAGAGTTGCCTCTGTATTGATTAGTTGTTTAATCATAAACCAGCCATTTAACGCCTCAAACTCCAGTCCTGGGATAGTACTAATACCTACTTACACTTATTTTAGAGAGTTGAAAGGATGATATGAGATAGGACTTGTGACATTCCTGGTCAACAGTAAGCCCTCCCTAAATAGCAACCCCTGGAATGAGGATGGTGATAATAGTGGTCACGAATCTAGGGTCTTACCCACATCTGTCATCCTGAGATTTTTGACCCAACAAAAATCTTGATCATATTTCTCTCACCTCTGAAGAAGATTCCCCGATATTACTGGAGAGCTACAATCGGCCTTACATGCCTATGCTATCAGTGTGCCCTGAATGTACACCACCTGACCCGAATATCTGAGTAGGAAAGAACATCAGCCCTGTCCTAACCTGGGTCAAGAGAGGAAATGTGACAAGGATGCAGTCAGTGGTACATGACAACGAAGACCCAGACCACCGGACACACTGGTCAGACTCTCCCTAGGTGCCAGGACTCCTGTCCCCAGAGGGTTACGGTCCACCCCAGCAATTTCTGGCAATTCCTTCAGCCACACAATCTCCGTATCCTAAATCCAGTCATTGCTCCTCTCTGGGTCACTTCTTCCTGCGCTGGATGCAAGTTTGACTCATCCAATCTCCTTCTGACTTTGACCTTCACTGTCCTCTACTTCCACCCCCTCCTTTCTAATTGGCCACCCGGAAGGAGTTTGGAGGAGCTCTTGCGTACAGAGGCTCCGGAGACCTACTCACATCGCCCATCTGCTGTGTGCTCTCTGACAGGATGGGAGTGGTGAGCAGCAAAAAGCAGGTCAAGGAGAAGGGTAGGGGACAGTGGAGCCCCGTGAAGGTCAGCACCCAGAGCAGAGAGCCCCCACCGCTGCCACCCCTGGTGAGTGATCGCTGTTCCCAGCTGGAGAGTGGGGGGAGGAGGGAGAGCACAGAGCATGTGTGGTTCCCTGGGGTTGCTCGTAGTCTCTCGCCAGCCCCGGTGCCATCTCTTGAAAACTCAGGGTTCCCACAAATAGGCCCCCACTAGTGCCATTCAGTCTCCTATTGGTGCGGCAATATTGTAGAATGTTTAACAACCAGGTTGCTGGCATTCAAATCTGTTGGTTGTATCTTTGAAGCAGGTTTTTTAACTACCTTAGCTTCAGTTTCCCCATCTGTAAAATGGGTAGAATAAAAGTGCCTTTCTGAAAGGGATGTAACGATATGCCACATAGACACAAGTATGCCATGCTATAACGTATTGCCTTCAGTACAGGACTAGGCATGGTTAGCCCCCAGTAATTCTTCGCCAGTTTTCAATGGGCACTGGCAACCTCAACCTTGAAGAGAAAGAGAAAACAAAGAGGTCAGCTTGAGGAACGGGTGTGGTGGGGAAGAGCCTAGGGCATTTAGCAATATCTGCTGCCCCGAACCCTGTTCAGATGCTCCTGGCTCATTGCCCCCTTCCTGGTGTGCCAGCATTCCAGAGAGCTTACTCCCCTGGAATGAGGCATCCTAAGACGGGAGGGTGCCTATGCTCACCTCCCCCACAGGCCCTCAAGTGTTCATGGAGCCCATCTTGCAGTTCTGGGTTGTTTAACAGTAGTTAGCTCCCTTCCTCACTACCGGTTTCTGAAGACACATTTTTAGATGACTATTTGTGTCCCTCCTGCCTGGCACCTACCCCCTTTTAGTTTGGGGCAATTGGAAGTCTTTCCTGCTCTCTCCTCCCCCACAGGCACATCCAAGTAGTCGTCCTTCCGACTGTGACCTGATGGGGGTGGTGACTGCTTCTTCCATTTTTTAGATAAACCAGGCATCTTATCTGTGTCCCAACTCAGATCTTGGCATGTAACAATGAAATGTTTGTTGAATAAATAAATAATCGAAGGGCCATACATTAATTATTGAATTTACGCCATCGGACTTGGATTGAGTAATTCTTTCAGTTACATGCTAATGAGTAATAGGGCCTGGAATGTGCTTAACTTTTATAAAAAGTCACATGATACATATTAATTATGGGGGAAAAAATACTCATTATCCCACCACCCGATGATACCCAGAGTTAGCATTGCAGAGTCCCTGCCTCCAGACCCTTTTCCTGTGTGTTATTTATATGTTTATATTATCAATGGAACTGTACTATACATACCATTTTGAGAAATGCTACTTCAAAATTGTGTTTAATAAATATAAAATACAAAAAGAAAGATTATTCATAACACACAAGTCAGGTTGAAAGGAGAATAAAATGAACACTAGTGCAATAGTGGGAAGTGACCCGTCCCACTGAAGGTCTCTGCTGTCCTCCCCATCTGCCCCCCTCATCCAGGCCCCACTGTTCTGAATGTGCTTATCATTCCTTAGCTTGGCTTGTTCTGCATCATCCCATGTGCATATATTCCTAAACACTATTTAGTTTAATTGTGCATGTTGTGAACTTTAAATCAAACGAATCCAACAGTATGTATTCTTCTGAGACGTGGGGTTCAGACCCACGCTTTTCGTTGTGAGGTGGTCCGCGTGGACACACACAGCTATAGCTCATTAACTGCCACAGCTGTGTGGGGTTGGACTGTGTGCATATGCCCCAGTCTATCCATTCTCTGGTCGCAAGCCATAAGGGTGATTTCCATGCTGTAATGATTTTTATGTAATTATTATGTATTATATTATGCATTTCTGCTGGGAACAGTCTTGTACATGTTTCCTGGTATACATAGGCAGAAGTTTCTCTACAGGGTATATACCTAGGAATATATTTGTTGAGTTTTAGGGAAATATGTGCTTCAAATAATTCTCCCTGAGAACAAATACCCTTTTGCAATGTCGTCATGTAATGACAGAGCCAGGATTTGAAGCCAGGTGATCAGACGCTTCCCCCACTCCCACTCCCCTTCCACGGCTGCCTCTTTGTAAAGTTGGGGCATCCCTCCATACCCCTCCTCTAGACGTGTCTATGGTCGGGGCAAAGCTGGCAGGTGTCCGGGGAGTTGTTTGAGATGGCACCGGTGCCCGGAGTAGAATTTACGTGTGTGACCTCCCGCAGCGACAGGGCAGCCCCACACTCCCAGCAGTCTCGCCCACTTCAGCAGGCCCTGCCCCGGCCCTGGGGCCTTGAACTAACTCAGAGGTGTGTCCACTCCAGGTCGTGTTTAACCACCTGGCTCCTGAACCTCCCAACACACACCCGGATCAAGGTAAGAAGGGGATCCTTTGGAAGCTGAGGCTCCACGGGCCATCTCCCCGGGCCCAGGCTTTGTGCGGTTAGAACAGGGGCTCAGTTGGGAGCAGCTTCCTGGAAGAGGGGCGTGAGCCCGCTAGGGTCTGACAGGAGAAGGTGGGGGAGGCTGAGGAGGAGCACCTAGCGTGTGGCCCAGCTTCACCTGCCCTTGGGAGCCTCTCCAGCGGTCAGGCACTGGTTCTGTTAGTGCACCTGAGTCTGGATGGTTTTTTTTTTTTTTTTTTTGGTACGTGCCCCTAGTGGGAACCGAACCCGGGATTCTCTGGTCCACAGGCCGACGCTCCAAGTGCTGAGCCAAACCGGCCAGGGCATGAATGGGTATTTTTTAAAGGGCTTTACAAACTATAAATGAACACAAAAAGACAAGAGTTACAGTGAATACAAACAGCGTCATTAAACCCAAGATTTTAAAGATCTAACTCCCCACCTCAAAGGGTGAGTTTCTCCCTCCCAGCCCTCAGTCTGTTCCAGGCAGAATTACCATCTCGTTCCCCAATGTCCCAGCCCACTTTCCAAAGTGTTGATGTTCTTATCACCCACGACACCTTACCTGGTCCCCAGTCTCCTCTCGCATTTTGGTGGACAGGACTGTGGAGGTGACAGAGCAAACGCCTTCGGCCTTCCTGGGGCTCAGTCCTCAGGAGGGGCTCCCAGGATGGTGGCCTCGTTCTGAATTGGCATACAGGAGAGCAGAATACCCAACATCCTCACAACTCTCTTCCACACAGCACCAGAAGGCCATTAACTTCCTCGCACTGAGGGCATTGAGCCAACAGGACCCAGAGCCCAGCCCTGTCCAAGGACTGGGGAAGCTGTATAAGACTGAGCTCCTGCCCTGGCCGGCTTGGCTCAGCAGTTAGAGTGTCGGCCCGTGGACCGAAGGGTCGAGGGTTTGATTCCCGGCCAAGGGCACATACCTTGGTTGCATTTCAGACCCTGGCCCTGGCTGGGGTCTTGTGGAAGGCAGCCAATTGATGTGTTTCTCCACATCGATGTTTCTCTCTCCCTCCCTCTCCCCCCCACCCCTTCTCCCTCCTTCCCTTCCACTCAATCTAAAAAATCAATGAAAAAATATCCTTGGGTGAGGATTAACAAGAGAAAAAAAAGACATAGCTCCTCCCCTGCAAGAGCTCAGTCTGTCAAACTAATGAGCAAGGCACAGGGACCGGGTAGTGACCTCACCTGGTGTCTATTGTCCTTTTGGAGATCACAGGTAATTGGCATCAGGGGCCATCCTTCACTTCCTGCCAGAAGGTTCCTATTTCCAGGAAGGAAGCCCAGGGGAAGGAAATAAACTAACTGCTTCGGACACAAGAATGAATCTCAGAACCAGAGGGGCCTCTGTCACCTATTCCAACCCCCTCTTTCCACCAAGGGAAGGTGGCCACACCAAGCATTAGTGACAAAGTTGAGTCATCTATCCCAGGAAAGCTAGGTGTCCCCAGGTGACCTTTTCCAGGTGGAGCTCGGCTCCCCAGAGCTGTGCAGAAAAGCCCTCGCTGTTAGCAGTGGTCATTGGAAAGACCAGCTCCAGAGCCCTCTCTCCACCTCCATTCTGGGGACCACCAGCAAGCATGGTCTGGCCAGCCCGAAGTACCATGATGGGGCCCTGGGCATGGCTGCCGGTCTAAGTTACAGTTGCCATGTTCCGAGACCACTGCTCCCTTTGAAATTAAGGCTGGAAGGGACAGGCGAGCAAGGGGAGGGAGGAGAAGCTCATATGCCTCCAGGACACAAGGGATCAGCCAACACTGCAGCCATCAGGTCCATGCAACATCTCTCTCTGAGCTATTGGGTCCCTGACACAGTAGTCCCATCTAGGCCTTAGGGTTTCTATGTGGGGTCCAGAAAGGATGACATGATGGGATCAGAGGGGCAGTGTGTCCTTGCTACTGGCAGCAAGGTCAGGAGGTCAGTCTGCCAGACAGAAATTTCTTCTTCTGCATCAGTGAGTGAGAATGCTCACCACGGCCTCCCCTCTGTCCTTGCCTTTCCTGACCCTCTTAGTAGCCAGAAGACGGCTCATAGCACAGTCTTACCCCGGCCCCTACCATCAGTCCAATGGCCTGAGCCATGGCCATCTCTTCCTTGTTCCCTCTAGAAGAGCATTTCGTGGTGGCGCTGTATGACTACATGACAGTGAATGACCGTGACCTGCAGATGCTGAAAGGGGAGAAGCTGCAGGTCCTAAAAGAGTAAGTTTCCAGAATGCTATCTTGTGGTCAGAGGTCCCTGCAGCTCCCTCTCCCTGCAGGGCTCCCACCATCCACCCAAACCTCACTCCGCCCCACCATGCTCTACTTGGCTACCAGAATATTTTCTCCATTGCCCAGCCCCAAGCCCAGGTTCCCAGCATTTTCTTTAACTTGACTCAACTGTCTTTCTTCCACCTGTCTTTCCAAAGTCTTCCCGGTGACGTGGTTTCCTGCTCTGCTGTCAAAATCTGACTCTTCCTTCAAAGCCCACCTCTAATGTCACCTCCTCCATGCAGCCCTCCTGACACCCACAGTGTTTGCCTAGTGAAACTGCAGCTTTGTGTTGGAGTCCGTTGTGTCTATATCTGTTCTCTTGCCAGATGAGATCTCGCCCAGGATTCTACTTATAAATCAGCTGTAGTTTATTTCCACTGTTCCTGCTCAGAAACTCCTCCAGAATCTGTTAGGGTCCTGAGAGCCTGCTTTGTTCTTGAAGTTTTGCAATGAGCTTGAGCTAACAGCGTGAAACCCTGACCCGCTGACCATGGCTGGGCGGCCCGGCCTTTCTGTGTTGTCTTTCCTGTCCAGTCCCAACTCGCTCACTACATTCTAAAGACATCCATGAATCAAGAGGAAGGGTACTCACTGTGAGACAGGGGCTCTAGTGGGCTGGTCAGGCTGTTGAGACAAACTGTCCTCTGGAGGCTGTGCCAACCCCCTTCCTCCCCTGAACCAGGAGCACCGGTGTGTCAGAAGTAACCCAGAGAGCCCCGTGTTTGAGCAGCTTCAGTAAGCTCCCTCTCATCTGCCAGACTATCTGCTAGCAGGGCGGGACCATGTCGTGGGGGGCTGTGAGCTGCCCTGGACAGACCGACCTGAGCCACACTCTCACTGTTGTTTTCCCTTCTTCCCTTAGGTCTGGAGACTGGTGGTTGGCCAAGTCTCTCGTCACGGGAAGAGAAGGCTACGTGCCCAGCAACTTTGTGGCCCGGGTAGAGACCCTGGAAGTAGAAAAGTAGGTGGACAGGCCTCCGAGCAGAGGCGTGCTTGCGGCTTCTGCTGTGCGGGCTGCTGAGCAGGGTGTGGCCAGACAGTGGCTAGCCTGCGAGCCTGGTGATCCCAGCATGGAGGGAACAGGAAAGGGACAGGGAGCGGGAACTCCTGGGAAAGGCTCGCCTACTGTCCCAGACGACGTTTCAATTGCTGTGCAATACGGAGGAGTCGGTCCTCCGTGAGCCCTCACTGTTCCCAGCTGTAAAAGGGAACCATCCCTTCCCTGGCTTACCTGGACAGAAACGGCCTGTGTCCCGTGGCCTTGCAAGTTGAAAAGGTGCTGGATCAGCCACCCCTCCGCCAGCGCCTCCAGTGGGCAGGACTCAGGGGTTGGACGTGGTGGGACTCCAGGATGGTGGCCTAAATCAGAATTGGATTATAGAGGAGCAGGATCCTCATACCAGCTGCCAAAAGCACCAGGAAGGTGCACTGCAGGACTCGGCCATTCGTTCACTCACACAGAAGGCACTGGGCAAGAAGGACCAGAGCCCGCTCTGTCTAAGGACAGGGGAAGCTGTAAAATGAGTAAGACGTGGCTTCTCCCCTGAAGGAGCTCAGAGTCTCACACTCAGGAGCAAAGTGCGGGAGCCGGGTTAGTGAGCTCACCTGGTGTCCCTCGGGCAGCAAGGGCAGCCCTTGGGAGGGTTCCTGTGCCTGTTACTAAAACAGCGAGCAGGACCTCAGACCCCTCCACACTGACCAGTCCGTGCTCAGGGACCAGGAGGGAATCATGCTCTGAGTCTACCTCTGAGACCCGACCCCAAGGAGGGTGTGGTCTGAGAGCAGGTGGTCGGGCACCTTTTCCCAGAGTGAAATTAACAAGGGCACCCAAATAATGTGTCTGTTTCATTTCAAGAAAAAGGTCCGTCCAGAAAAGGGAGCACAGACACCGCTGTGAGGAGCGGTGCCCAGGGAGGCCCTGGGGGCAGAGGCACAGCTCAGGAGGGAGGTTTGGATAAGAACACTCGGAGGAGCGGGCCTGTCTCTGACATGTGCCTGCCTTTGTCCTTTTCCAGGTGGTTCTTTAGATCAATTAGCCGGAAAGATGCCGAGAGGCAGCTTCTAGCTCCAATCAATAAGGTGGGCTCCTTTCTTATTAGAGAGAGCGAAACCAACAAAGGTAAGCGTGGGCAGCAGCCCTCCCCTCCCTGAGCGCTCTGGGCAGCCCCCGCCTGAGGTCTGGCTGCTGCCCGTGCAGGGGGAGGGGAATGCCAGCCAGGAGAACCCAGCAGCCTCCAGGGTCTCCCTCCCAACACAGGCTCTGCCTGGGCAGCCCGGCTCGAGCCCAGCAGTAGAGCTTGAGGCTGCACCCACAAATCCTTCTCTCGTCGCCCAGGCTAGAAGTGCACCCTGGGCTCGGGGAGGGCAGGCATGTGTCTCTCAGGGTCAGCAGCAGACTGAGGCTGGAGGGGTCCGAAGAGGGCAGGTAACCCAGAGACATGTTCTGGAATCAACGGAGTTGGGAGCGGAAAAGATCCTTAGAGATCGTGTCTGTCAGAGGCTGTGACGTCAGGCCCTTACAGGAGCCTGGAAGGTAACATAAGGTTGTGGAATGACCTGTGGCTGGAAATAAAAGAAGGGGGCAGTGATGGTGGAGAACCAGGGGGACTTGGGGATTCAAATCCACTGACTGAGCAAAACCTGTCTGCTGCCACCGCAGGCCATGGGTTTTCTTCTTGTCCGTTCATAGTTTTCTCTCCTTTCCTTCTTACATCTCTTTTTTGTTATAAAATATAAAACACAGAAAAATTGCATTATACATTATAAATGAGTGCATACTTTTAAATATAGAGTCATAATAAATAGACACTTGTGCTACCATTAGAACGTTCCAGAAGTCTGAGCCCCTCTCACTCCTCCATTTGTGCCCCTTTCTAACTCAACCTGCCCACACCCCAGAGAGGTCACGGCTAGTCACACTTCTAGGGAAATCCTTCCGTGCTCTTCTGTATGGTTTCAGCATTGGTATTTTGTCTGTTTCTTGGCTTTCTACAAATGGAGTCCTACCACATTTACTTTCGTGTGTCTTGTTTATCTCACTGAATATTGTGAGAGTCTGTGTTAGTTTGCTGGGCCCGCTCTAAGTACCAGAAACTGGGCTATGAAACAACAGAAATGTATGTTCTCATGGTTCTGGAAGCTGGAAGTCTGAGATTGAGGTGTCCGTGGGTTGGTTTCTTCTGGGGCCTCTCTCCTTGGCATGTGGATGGCCGTTTTCTCCCTGTATCTTCATATGGTCTTCCCTCTCTGTGTCCTCATCTCCTCCCCCTCCTCCTCCTCCTCCTCCTCCTCTTCCTCCTCTTCCTCCTCCTTCTGTTGTTGTTGTTGTTGTTGTTGTTGTTGTTCTTCTTCTTCTTCTTCTTCTTCTTCTTCTTCTTCTTCTTCTTCTTCTTCTTCTGTTAATCCTGACCAGAGGATATTTTTTCCATTGATTTTCTTTTTTTAGATAGAGTGGAAGGGAGGAAGAGAGAGAGAGGGAGAGAGAAACATTGATGTGAGAGAGACATATCGATTGGTTGCCTCCCTGTCCAAGAATCAAACCTGAGACCCTTTGGTCCTTGGACCGTCACTCTAACCACTGAACAACACCGGTCAGGACCTCCTCTTCTTCTTATAAAGTCACCAGTCATACTAGACTAGGGTCCGCCCTAATGAGGTGGAATCAACGGAGTTGGGAGTGGAAAAGATCCTTAGAGATGGTCTCTGTCAGAGGCTGTGACGTCAGGCCCGTACATTCACTTGAATGTAATCACCACTTGAAAGGCCCCATGTCCAAATGCAGTCACATTCTGATATATGGGGGTTGGGGCTTCAGCATAGGAATTGGAGGGGTGGGGCACAATTCAGCCAGTAACAGTCACTCACGTTTTTGAGAATGGCAATAGTCGGTTCACTCTCAATGCGAACAGGTTATATGAACCTTCCATAAGCTATTTCGCTATTCTCATGTTGGTGGACATAGAGTTGTTCCAGTTTGGGGCTATTATGAACATAAACTAGGAACCTTATTACTGTATGCTTCCTGGTACACGTTTGACACTAGTCGTCCATCTTTGAGATACTGAGTCAGTACCCCCATTTGAAAGATGAGAAAACTGAGTCTCTGAGGGAGGAAATGACTCACTCAAGGCTAACAGTGAACAAGTGTCAGAGCCCAAACCATCTAAGGGGTTCCGAATAGCTTCACAGGACCTAAAATGCATCAAGCTGGCCTAACCTGGGGCAGTGGGGGGCGGGGGGGGGAGATTTCCGCAGCAGTGTGGAGAAGCCTTTGTTTATCAGGACACTGCACACAGGGACCCTTTACAGATAAATTTTAACCGGAGAAGAGGTGAGAACAGCGACATCGGTGGAAGGGAAGGAGGGTGGCTAGACTTTGATTTGGTTCCCTGTGGGCTGGCACAGTGAGAATTGACAGAGGTTTGGCCCAGGAGGAGCACCCCACTGGGCTTGGCCCTCAGCTCCATCATGGCCTGAGATCTGCAGTGAGCGGAAACACCAGAGCAACAAAGCTGGACAAGGAGCTGTTTACAGCACACTGGGAGGCTCAGGGGGCAGCCCTCGGCCTCATCGCCCTCGGAGGGTCAGGGCTGGGCTGGGGAGGAGAAGGGGTGCATGATACATTGGGGTGCTCTGTGCAGAATTTCCTGAAATGCACCAATGGATGCATCTTATTACACACACACACACACACACACACACGCACGCACACACACAGCATGAGGCAAAAGTAGGTTTACAGTTGTTCCTATGAAAATAATACAATAATTAATAAATAATAATACAAGAATAAACTGTTTCACATATACCTGTAAACCTACTTTTGCCCCACCCTGTTTATATATTGTCACTATTCCATTTTAATGGCAGAACACCTATGTCCAAGAATAAAACTGTTATGTGTTGTAGAATATTTTCAACACATACAGAAGTGGAGAGACTAGTATAATGGGACGCCTTGTGCCCAATGCCCAGCTTCAACAATGATCAGCTCAGCCAGTCTGGTTTCACGTACATCCTCACCTAAGCCTAGTACTTTGAAGCAAATCCCAGATATCATGCCATTCCATCCTGGAAGTGACGTTTTATGACTGCCTAGGGCTAAGGTGCCCTCTGGAGGGAAAGGGGCTTCCAAGCTCAGAGTGGAGGTGGAAGGGGCTCTCTCAGGGTGGGGTACCTCCTCCGGTCCTTGCCCGCAGTGGGAAGCCAGCCCAAGATGGTCAGTGGCAAGATGGAGCTGGGGCTGTAGGACTGTGCAAGCAGCATCACCCCCACACATGCTCCTATACACACATGTATACACACATGCACACACGTGCCTCAGAACTCCAAAGCAAGACCCCTCTGTCTGCATCTGGAAGCCACACCCAGAGGCTGCAAGACAGGGAAGGAACTCAGAAGCAGGGGGAGTGAGTTCTAGCCCCCTGTGGCCTCCAAGTTGTCCCTTAGCTTCTCAAGCCTCAGTTTATTGATATCCATGTGAGGACCCACTAGTTTCTCAGTCCAAAAGCAGGTGGTCTTTCAGGGGTTAAGAAAACTCAGCATCTGGGAGCCCAGCCTGTGTGCCCAGCACAGCCCAGAGGCAGGGCAGGGGGTCCAGATTTTGGAGCAGGGTCAACCAGATTTTGTGAACCTGAAGTTGATAGGATTTGGAGGTCCCTTTAAGAAGAATACCAAATTGTAAAAATCTGTATATCAGAGACATGCCCTTGGATGAGCACGGGTAAGTGAGGGGCCCTAATCATGAGCTTGGGCAGTGGTCTGTATGGAAGGAAGAGGGCCTCCTTGGCCTGCTGTGGGTTTCCACAGCAGGGTGCAGCCGAGGAAATGGGGAGAAGAACCCTTTTCTTCACTCTGATGGTGCGAGAGGAATGAACTCACAGAGCCACTCTCCAGTTCTTTAAATTCCGGGGCAGAGCTGCACCTCCAGGCGCGGGGTGGGCGAAACAGTGCAGAACGCGGCTGGGGCTGGGGTTGCAGGAGTGTTGTGGGCTGTGGCCGCGGCAGGACCCCTGATGGGGCGCCCGGCCTCTCGGAGTTCTTTTGCAAGTAGGTTAAGGGAGATGGGAGGAGAGCAAGAGTTTGCGATGGAGTGATGGTCTGAAAGGAAAGGAAAGCTGCCTAAAGACCAACAGCACAGCCGAAAACCAAGCGTCCACACTCAGGAGAAGAGGTGTCCAAGCCTGACACCTGGCGGGCGAGGGTGGTACTGCTCACCGTAGGTGCGCCCTCAGGGAGGACCCTAGAGCCCCCAAGCCTGCCGCTTAACTAGCCGAGTGACCTGGGACAAGTGACATCCCCCTTTAGGGCTTCAGCTTTCTCATCTCCCAGATAAGAGTCGGGGCATGGTACCAGGAGAGCTGGGCAGAGGCATTTTTATGAAAACATCAAGTTTATGGGAAGAAGTTTCTCAACTGGAAACTGTCGCCTCTTTAACTTGCTCTTAATCCCTGCCATCTGCTAGCACTGGCCTGCAGGCAAACACTAACACAGAGGACAGAGCACTCAGGTGTGTGAACGGATGTGAGCAGAACCCCTGGAGGGGGTGCTGGAGGTTGGGACGCGGTGCTGCGTGTGGGAGCAGAGGCAGCCTTTTCAGCCAGAATGAATGAATGATCAATCAATCAACCTCTTAGTTCCTCCATCAGCTCGACATTTCTCAGTATTCCATGGCAAAGGGTCCCTGAGTGACCTGGCTCCCAGGGGAGGGATGCCATGATTCTTAAGAGAATGTCCTACCTGCTCCAGGGTTCTGTGGTCCTCTGGCTGAGTTTTGGGAGACGGTAGGGGAACATCAAGAAGAGAGTCGGATGGAGCGGATAGGGCAGACTCCCAGGCTGGAGGTTGAGATGAAGGCAAAGATAGGGTGGAAGTGGTCAAAACAGAGCAGAATTCAGGGAGTTTTCCCCCAAGGCTTTGAAATGAAGCCCAAATCTCAGTCCACTCTTCCCTCATTGGTTATGCCTTCCTTCTCACACTTGTGTCTTTATTAACCCTCCAGGTGCCTTTTCCCTGACTGTGAAGGATGCAACCAGCCAGGGGGAGGTGATCAAACACTATAAGATCCGCTCCCTGGATGAAGGGGGCTATTACATCTCCCCCCGAAACACCTTCCCCACCCTCCAGGCTTTGGTGCAGCACTACTCTAGTAAGAGGGGGCACCTGATGGGGGCGGGGGTTTGTGCCAGAGCAGCCCTTGTATTTCTCTGTGGCTAAGATCTCAAGATTGAGAATCACTGGTGCTATCTTGGAGTTGTCAACTGTCAACATAGTGGTTCAAAGTCTGTACCTAATCCCTTCTACCCTTCTACTGGATCAGCATTCAACAACCTGGAGTCTTAGAGAGAGCAGGTCGATGCAAGCATGCCTTGCTTTATCCGAAACCATTGTAAAGAGCTGTGTGTGTGTGTGTGTGTGTGTGTGTGTAGTGTGTGTGCAGATGTGTATACATGCACTTGGGGGGGGGGGGCGGTTGGGACCAGCAAGAAACAGTGAGGGACACGGCTAGAAAAATTAGGGCTCTCCAAGGAGAGATGCGAGTCTGGCTGCTCTGTAACTTCCAGCCCCATGTCTCCTTCCCTAATGCAGATAAAGGGGATGGCTTATGCCAGAAGTTGACCCAACCCTGTGTGAGCCTGGCTCCTCAGAACCCCTGGGCCCAGGATGAGTGGGAAATTCCCCGGCAGTCTCTCAGGATGGTCCGGAAACTCGGGTCAGGGCAGTTTGGCGAAGTCTGGATGGGTGAGTATGTGGCATGCCGGGAGCCTCTCACCCCGCCCAGCATCCTGAGGCACAGAGGGCTCAGGATTTGCACAGTGTATCCTGCTTCCCTAGAAAGGCTTGTGAGGGAGAAGGGACAGAGGCTATGATGCCCACTTCACAGGTGAGGTAATGGAGGCATAGAACATTGTCCCTCAAGTGCCTGAGGGAGGCTGAGACAGGCTGGCACATCCATCTGCCTCAGGAGCTGTACATTCCAGCCCAGGGCCACCTCCTAAGGGGGTGGCTCTAGCTTCAATCCCCCACTCCCACCCCCCAGCATCAGGATGGCTCCTGAAAGCTTATGGGATCACCTTCCACAACCTCAGGGTCTTCTGAATGACTTCTTCATTCTCTCCCCCACCCCCACCCCTCCCCTGGCTCAGGTTATTACAAAAACAGCATGAAGGTGGCCATCAAGACCCTGAAGAAGGGAACCATGTCTCCAGAGGCCTTCCTGGGCGAGGCCAACCTGATGAAAACTCTCCAGCATGAAAGGCTGGTTCGCCTCTACGCTGTAGTCACCAAGGAGCCCATCTACATCGTGACTGAGTACATGGCCAGAGGTGGTGCCCCGTGGTGGCCTGTGTCCCTCAGACAGAGGCGGGAGGGGCAGAGGGAGGGTACTGGCTTAAGGGCTGAGAAGGCAGAGGCCCCTCTGCTGCTGTGGGTTTGCCTGGCCAGGGGACCTGTGCAGGGGATCGCTGAGCCATGGGCTGGGCTGATTGGCCTATGTCCTGCGCACCTAGGGTGTCCCAGGTGCACAGGGGTGGTGGGAGGGGAGGAAGGTGAGAAACAAGACAGACAAGTGGTTCTGTAGAGTTGTGTCCTCAGTTCAGGAGCACTTGGAGTATGTCTTCTGTGCTCAGCACTGTGTGACGTTGCTGTGGAGGACAGAGCATGGCCAAGTTAGAAGAGCAGTAGGCTGGGTGTCAAGAGACGGTTCTAGTTCCAGGTCTACCACTTACCTTTTACATGGGACCTTTTATACCTGTATGAATATTTTACCACATGGTGAAGAGAGAGGTTGGGTGAGATGACCTCTGAGGTCCACAGTGTGGCCAGGCTCTCATGGGGCAGTGGGGGTCAAACCTTGGCCTTTGACCTCCTTGTCACCCCTCCCTGAGGCCACACACTGCTTCCTGTAGGACCCTAAGGTGCCATGCTAATCTAGTTCCTCAAATGTCCCCATGAAGGGAACCCCACATTGAGCTGGGGACCCAACAGCTCCTTTGTGCACCTCTTAGCCATACCTCAGAGGAGTGTGTCCTCCCCCCCCCCAGTTTTTAGATGCTCTAAATCCCAGGAGGCGGGAGGCGGGTCTCTCCATTCTGGTGCTCAGAGGCACAGTCTCTGCCAACAAAGGGTGAAGGGGGCAAGAATGTCATACCAGGAATGCGCACTAAACTTGTAGTCAGAGGAGCAGGTTCTGCTCCCGACTACTTGCCCCGTGAACCTGGCTGAAACCTAACTTCCTGTGAGTAGATAGGAGCGTATCCGCTGCCTCCTGGGTGCTGTGAGGACCGGGGTCCGAATTCTGTAAAGCAGAAGGCACTCGATGCTGTGGGTGGACTTCTTCTCTGTGGACAAGAGATCTCACAGAGCGCCACCCACTGCTGGCCCGCGGGCGGGGAGCAGCCCACACCTGGAGGAGGCTGGCAGAGCCAGGGAGGGCCGTGTGCAGAAGTGCAGCCACAGTGTCTCTCCTCAGGGTGCTTGCTGGATTTCTTGAAGACGGATGAAGGTAGCAGATTGTCCCTCCCGAGACTGATCGACATGTCGGCCCAGGTTTGTGAGCTACCAAGGGCAGTGGGCCTGAGTACCAACGCCTTCGTGGGGGCTGAGATCCCTGCCTCTTGTCCCTGACCTCTGCCTTAACCAAATCAACTATTTAGAGGTTGTATCAATCCAATTTAGGCTGGGCTGTGAAAGACAGAAAATCCAAAGTCATAGTGACTTACATTTTAATGTGTAAACATCCAAAGGTGGGAAGTTTGGGGTGGTAGGTGGGACTGCCCCTCAAAGTCACAGGGACCCAGGTCTCTTCCACCTGCCAGGTGTCTTAACATGTCATCCGACTGCCCAAGGTGGATACTCGCACTTTACCATTCGTCCTCTTCTCAGTCAGCAGGAAGAAGTCAAGGGGGGTGGGAGGTGAAAGTCCATGTTCCTTCCTAGAGACATGTCCCTGAAGTCACCCACTACATTGCTCTTACATCTTCCTGGCCACAGTCACCTGGCCACACCTAGTTGCAAGGGAGCTTGGGAAATGTAGTCTTTATTCTGGGCAGCCATGATGGGATGAGGTGCGTTCTATCAATAAGAAAGAGAATAGATGGTGGTGGGGAAAACCCAGAGTTTGCACGTATTCCATTTAACATGGTCAGCAAGCGTTTTGTGGTGACCTCATTTCTTCCTCAGAAGGTGCCCACAAATGCCTTCTGTAGCAGGTGGGAAAATGGAGAGGAGGGATCTTTCCTCCCCAGGGAATTTAGCTGAGGGCTCCAACTGGCAGAAAAACCCATCTGGGGGCCCCAAGTCTGTATGTCTGTTAAAACTGGAACTCTCAGCAGAAAATCTTTGTGGTCAACCTGTGAGACATGTACACACATGCACACATCCGGCTGCAAAAAGGAAACCTCCCCCCGCCGCATGCTGCCCCTCCCCAGCTCACAGCCTTATCTGCCCTTAGTATCGAGGCAGGAACTGATGTCACCGCACCCTTTTTCCACAGACAGGTTTGAGGAGCTGGCGATATGGTGTCGGAAAATTAGCGCTGGTAACTGGTTTCAAACCACATAAGAGTGATAAACCTGTGAACTCTTTTTCTTACTTTTCCTTCTCTCTCTCTCCCCTGCCTTCTTGGGTCACCCAGGGGCAAAGGATGTGAAAAGCCACCTCAGTTTATACCTAGGTGTGGTCAAGATGCTGAGAGTTAAATAACCAAAATCAGAACCTCCCAGGTGGTCAGCTTCTAAACCATGTTCTGGTCAGGCTAGTGCCTCCCCAGGTGTGCATACATGCGCACATGCATGCACACACACACACACACACACACACACACATGCACACACCCAATCTTCCTTTTCCTGCTCTACAGGATGAAATGCAAAGCTCCCCTCCAACCACAACCCCAGGTGTCCTACTTTGAAGTCACATGGCAACTCCCTAATGTCTTGGGAGCCTTTGCCCAGGCTGTCCTCTCTTCCCAGAATGCCTTTGACTTTCTTCTCACCTGGAAAAATCCTAATCAGTATTCATGATCCAAGTCAAGTGTCCTTTCTGGTACATTTTCCCTGGACCTAAAAGTGTTGGCGAGCACTTAGCTCATATGTTCTCTTTAGCATCATGCACAGTAGATTCTTCTCCTTGAAAACACATCTGGGCCCTTCTCAACCTTTTTTTTTTTTTTTTTTTTGGTATTTCTAGTACTGCTAAATACATATTTTTAAATGGAATGAGTGCTGCTAAATGCTGTCCAGATATAAGATATAAAATATTTGGTACTTAGCTTTATAGTCCTCACAGTACCATACCAGTAAATGTATGTTGATGGAATGGTTTAGCAAAGGAAGGGAGGGAGGGAGGGAGAGAGGGAGGGATTCATGGGTAAATCAATACAATGGAAACAGATCAATCCCAGTACTGGCCTCTTGCTGCTACAGATTTGAAAGATAAACTGGCCTTCTATCTCTGCCTCAGTTTCTTCCTCTGTCAGTGAGAGTGCAGATAATAAAGCCTGAGTTAGTCTCCTTGGCTGAAGGGCACACCAGCAGCACAAACAGCTATTCCAGCCCAGCGCTGGTGATGGGGGCAGAGGCGGAGTCCCCTCTTTTCCTGCCTCTGTTCCATGAGGATTCTCCCTGCTCCCTGCGGGCCCACCGTGGAGCAATGCTGGGTTGGGTTCTCTGCCACGTGTTTCATTTCATGTTCACCTCAGCTCCATGCCCTGCAGACCCCTTTCCTCATATTCCAATCAGTTCAGTGACATTTCAGGGAGCATAAGCAACATGCCAGGGGTCAGCGATTTCAAACCAGGGCACCCTGCTCCCAAAACCGTGCTTCCAACCGGCCATGGTGATGAAACCCTCTCCTTGCCTCCACCCTTCCCTCTCCCTGCGGCCTCTTCCCTTTCTTCTCCCCTCTCAAGAGAGCTCCCTTTTCTCCTGCCTTTATTCTGCTGTCTTCCTCCCCTGCAGACACTTGGAAGGAGAGGACAGGTGGGTGGGGGTACAGGTAGCCCCTAGCTCTGATGACAGCATCTCTGCCTTTCTGGGCTCTTATGGGACAGGGGTGTATATCTTATTCAGCTGAGGAGCGGTGGACGTTCCCACCAAGCATCTGCTCCTTCTTCAATAGCACCACCATCCCTTATGCACCTACCAAAACACACACACGCCAGACACCCAAGCCTCTTCTCCTTCCGGCTGTGAGACGATGGATGCTGCTTCTACAGACAGGCTGGTGGCGAGGGTGGGCAGGGTCCTTCCTCTCCCCAGGAGCTGTAGGGGACCCTGGCTGGGCTCGGTCCTTGCATAGAGGTCCTCACATTGCTCTACCCTGTGTGGCATGTTCCCTCAGATTGCTGAAGGAATGGCGTACATTGAGAAAATGAATTCAATCCACCGTGACCTCAGGGCGGCCAACATCCTGGTGTCTGAGACCTTGGGCTGCAAAATCGGTGACTTCGGCTTGGCCCGGATCATTGACAATGAATACACCGCTCAAGAGGGTGAGCCAAGACTCCCAACCACAGGGAGACCTGGGTCTTACCTTCCCCAGATCCCAAACTCCCTTGTACTTCTCATCACCACATAGCAGAGCCCTATGTGAAGAGATCAGAGAGCTGTGTGGTTTCCACAGCTCTGGCCTTATCCCCAGCAGATCAGCATTTCCCTAACTGTGCTCTGAAGAGCACTAGAGCATCCCGAGGAATGGTTCTGTGATGAAGTAGGTCTGGAGATACTGCAAAGTCCATCCAGTGCCCCCATGGTGATTTCCAATGCACACCAGCATATTAAAGGCACTGAGACGTCCTGCAGCAAAGCAACAGTGTACATTTGCTTCACCTGGTGTCCCTCAAACTAATTTTGTTCGTTTGTTTGTTTTTTTCTTTATTGATTTTAGAGAGGAAGGGAGAGGGAGAGAGAGCTAGAAACATCAGTGAGGGAGAACATTGATTGGCAGCCTCCTGCATGCCCCCCACTGGGGATTTGGCCCACAGCCTGGGCATGTGCCCTGACCTAGAATCAAACCCACAACCTCTTGGTGCATGGGCCGACGCTCAACCACTGAGCCACACCAGCCGGGTTCCCACAAACTAATTTGAACCCAAAATACTTTTCCACTTATTGCCTATTAACTCCCCACAGAACTAAGGTTCCAAAGGACACACTTTGGGAAACACTGCTCTGAAGTGGGAGCAGCAAAACCTTATACCTGAATTAGGTTTCCACAGAGTCCTCTGGTTTTCTCTATTAGTATAGGAAGTAAAAATCCTCTTCACAGGAGGAATTGAAGGGGTCACGTGCATTTATCAAGCAAGCTTGCAATTCATATCAGCTGAGCATATTAATCAGCAGGCGCAAGAGAAGGGTGCATATGGCTCATTCTCCGTTCTCTGAAGGAACTGCAGGCTGGCTGGGGAGGCAGGGAGAGCCAGGCGAGGTGGGAGCGGATTGGGTGCTGAGTTATGCCATCCGCTCTGAATGCTGATCAAACTGTAGCCATCCACATGGCGCCCTGGGGCAGCAGGGTTTGAATCCCCTTCTCACTGTGACCCCTAAGTGATGTGTAATCATTTCCATGTTGCAGGAAATGATTAACTGAAGCAGGGACAAGTTAAAGTCAGTCACCCAAGTCATGAGTTCCTTGTTATTAACAAGGCCAGGGCAGGAGGAAATTGATGCCTCTGTGCAGATGGAAATATGTGGTGGTTACCCAATGAAGCCCAGTGGGCAGGGACCCAAAGAGGGTGACAGCGATGATATTTGTGTCCCTATTGTTCTTTCATGCTGTGGCCCCCAGTGTCTGCACATGCCTGGTCATGTGTCCCAGTGGGTCTCAGTGACTCCCTGGATGAAACGGTCGAGTAGGGCGGGCCAAGCCCTGTAAAGGGAGCTGGGGGGCCAGAAAGAGCAGTGGGGAGGGGGTAGGCATGCAGGGTCAGTCAGTCCTGGACTCACAAACCTGTTCATGGCTTTTCCCGCAGGGGCCAAGTTCCCCATCAAGTGGACTGCCCCAGAGGCTATTCATTTTGGGGTGTTCACCATCAAGGCGGACGTGTGGTCATTTGGCATCCTCCTGATGGAAATTGTCACCTATGGGCGAGTACCCTACCCAGGTAGGCAGTTTCATCCCGCAGTGACTCACGGGTTCCTTGCTGTCCTGGGATGGCAGGGTGACCGTGCTGCCTGGGGCCACCCACGTATGTGTCAGAATGCAGTCTCGATGGTGGTAAGCATACCAGTCTGAGGGCAGGGTTCTGCCCCCTTCCTCAACATTGCTCTTGTCACCAGGGCCCTGTTCCCTACCTCCAGCAGGGCTCAATCAGTCCCCAAACCTGGAATTAAGTAAAGGTCAGGATGTGAACTCTTACTCACAACTGGATTGTTCTCAGTTGAAGACAGTCCCTCCCTTGGCCTTGGGTGTACTCTCGAAAGTGCCACCTTGACTGTGAAACCCCAGGCCCAAGCCCCCAGCCCCGCGTCAGAAGGGCTCGGGCAGCTGAGCAGTCGCTCCTGGTCAGCAGGTGGCGCGTGTTGGTGGAACACCTGCCCAGGGAGCGATGGGCTTCAGTTGTGTGCCAGGCAGTCCCCGACAAGCCAGACAGGGTCCCATCCACGGAGGAACCGCCAGCACTGAGGACAAAATCTGCAGCCTCGTTTCCAGAGGTTCTCCAGGCAGTGAAAGTAAATAAAGAGGTGTTTAAAGGTGGCACCAGGCGGGCAGCCAGGTCACCTGCGAGGAGGTGTCTCGCCCGCCCCTCAGCCACGCCCTGCGTCCCCTCTGCCTCCAGGAATGAGCAACCCCGAGGTCATCCGCAGCCTGGAGCGAGGCTACCGCATGCCGCGTCCCGACTCGTGCCCGCCGGAGCTGTACCGCGGGGTCATCGCCGAGTGCTGGCGGAGCCAGCCCGAGGAGCGGCCCACCTTCGAGTTCCTGCAGTCGGTGCTCGAGGACTTCAACACGGCCACCGAGCGGCAGTACGAGCTGCAGCCCTAGCCCGGCTCCGGGCTGCGTGGGCGCCGCGGGGCTGCGGGAGCCCGGCGCGCGGCTCTGGGGCTGGATGGCGCGCGCCTGTGGCCCGACCCGCGGAACTGACGGGGCAGGTTCACCCCGCGGCGCTTATTCCGGCCCCACACGGGCGGGAAAGGCGAGGAGGGGCGCCGTTCGCCCCGACGCGGCACCCAGAGGCGGCCTAGAGCGTGGTCCCCAGCGTGGACCCCGAGCCGATGTCGCAGTCCCGCCCTTCTCTGGCTGTACGTCCTTGGGCAGGCTACTTAGCCCCCGGCGCCTCCGCTCCCTCTTTGTGCAACAGGAAGGAGCGTTACAGTACCTACCTCGTCCATTCCTCGTGGGTCCAGAATAGTTAACCCGGTACGAGGTTCAGAAGGGTGCCTGGCACACTCGAGTTTGTCGTCATACCAGGCGCCCCTGTGCTGGCGCAGGTGACCGGAGTGCCGTGCTCCCACCTGCGCGGACCGCCTCCCCCCAGGCTCCCCTCCGCCCATCCCAGACGCGGAACTGGTCCTCCCCAGCCGTGGGCTCCGAAAGCTCCACCGGTGAGGGCTCCGGGAGGGGAGCGCTCCAGAGCTTTGGGACTTTGCCGTATTCAAGTCATGAGCTCTGACCCTTTCCGTGCCGTTGCTGGTGACAAGCCTGGTCATCGCTTCCATGACATACGTGGACGGAAGAGTGGCTCCGCTTGTGACTCGAGGATGACCGGGGCTTTCCGGTGGGAATCGAGTCCCCAGCCCCAGAACCGCTGCGCAGACCCAACTGGCACTGCCTTTGAGCAGGGCCAGCAGGTGGCGCCCTCACCTCAGAGATCCTTGACCTCAGCAAAGCGCCAGAGCTGACGGTGGGAGCCTCGCTTCTTGGGGACACCCACAGATGAGAAGAACAAGCCCCCTAGGCTCCCAGTCCAGCCACCAGGCGCATAAGCAGAAAGCAGATGACCGTGAGATGCTAATACCAAGAAACATTTAAGAAGCTCTCCATTTGTCATGTTTTTTGTTTTGCTTATAATAGATCTTTTTTAGCAGTTACCGAAAAAGAAGCAGAAAATACAGAGAAAACTATTTACCCATCACCCCTGTCCTTCCCATTTCCCCTATTATTATCTTGCAAACGTGGGGTATATTGGTTACAAGTAATGAACCAATTTTGACACATTGTTAACTAAATTCATAGTTTCCTTTAGGATTCTCTCTTTGTGCTGTATGTATTTTTCTGTGGTTTTGCACAGATGTGTAATGTGTAATGACATGTCTTCACCATTACAATATCACATGGAATAGTGTCAGTGCCCTCAAAATTCTTGTGTTGCACCTATTCATGTCTCCCTCTCCCTCTCTGAACCTCTGGCCACCAACTTGCCATGTAGTGACTCGTCTGATCTTGTGACAACCCAGAGAGGTATGATCACTGACATCCATAGACAGAGGAAGAAACTGAGGCACAAAGAGCTTACCTGGTGTTCCCAAGGTCACACCGCTCATTGTAGCAGGATGGGGGTGTGGACCCCAGCAGAGTTGTGGGACTGTGGCAGCAAGGTAGGTGGGGCTGCTGGGCTAGGAGAACCTCGCTGGAGGGGCTGCTTCTTCAAGGAAACAGAGGTGACTAAGCAAAGAAGGACACGTGTCTGTAGAGTCCTTGCTGGTTCTAGACTACCTGCCCATCGTCTAGATTCTCCAACAGCCCTGGGAGGAAGGAGACTGGCAGAGACTCCACACCACCAGTCTTGCCCAGAGGCTGTTAGCTGGCCAGTGCTTGGCCCCCAGCCTCTACCATAGTGCAGTGTAGAGAGCACAGCATTCCTAAAGGGGGGGAGGTGTTCTGCAAAGGTAGGTCTGGCCTGAGCAGTTCCCAAGTGGATCCCGGGGTTGGAGGCTGTGATCAGACTGGGACTTGGACAGATCTCCATTAGGAGGTCCGGGATGCTGGAGGTAGGGGCTCCAAGGAGTTCTGGCAAATTTCCTCAGACCTCTCCCTCAAACTGAGGGCTCTTTTTAGGAAAGTGACTGTTAAGTCTCGGGGGGGGGGGGCACAGCTCAATCCCCTTCCACACCCCCAGGGGCTTAGCACCCACACCCCTTCTTTCTGGAATCTCTAAAAATTAGGGCTGCCTGGCCCAGAACCTGGGGTGAGGGGGTGTGACTGGTGGGAATTTGGGACACCAGAGAGTCAACTGAACCTGCAGGGGCTGGGTGCATCCGGCAGACACAAATCTGAGTGGAGGTGCTCATGGGAGAGAAGGTCCCCAAGAGGACCTATGGGTGCCTTCTGAGGTAGGGCCAGGAAGGAACCGAATATCTATAGGATGTGGAATGAGTCCTTCCTTCTGGCTTTGCAGCCCAGACCTCGGGCTTGAGGACCATCTCCCTGCCTCCCATGGCCTCTCTGAAGTGGGCCCCGGCTGTCCAGGAGCTGGGGCTGGCTCGCCACCTCTCTGGATCCCGCCGCCTTCCTGTGAGGTGAAGGGAGTCACCCAGTTCTTGGCCAACCTGACTATTCATGAGAATCACCTCCATTGTTTTGAAATGCAGTGTCTAGCCCTCTCAGTTGGAGATGCGAATCCAGCAGGTCTAAGGCGGCATCTGGGAACTTCATTTTCCCTAAGCGCCCTGTGTGATTCTCGGCTCAGACCCGTGTTTCTGGATGGATGCATGGACCACTGTGGGCAGAAGGGGGACAGTGTCGGGAGGGCACATTGAAAATACGGGTGCCAGGATTCCGGGTGGGGCCTGGACATCAGCACATTTTATTTTTTGTAAATATTTTAAAAATATGTTTTTATTGATTTTTTTAAGATAGAGAAGAAGGGAGAACAAGATAGAAACATCAATGTGAGAACATTGATCGGCTGCCTCCTGCACACTCCCTACTGGGGATCGAACCCACAACCTGGGCATGTGCCCTGACCAGGAATCAAAACGGGACCTCTCAGTCCATGGGACAACATTTAATCCACTGAGTCACACCGGCCGGGCCATCAGCACATTTACAATGTCCCCAGCTGGCTAATGTTCATGCAGGATTGGGAACCACTGGGCGAGTTGCATGGGGTTCGGAAGTACCCTCCCCAACAGGGCTGGCTGCAAGTAACCAGGGCCCAGTATGACTCTCAGGTCCTGGCTCATTCTCAAGGATATGTTGTCCCGCCAGGCAGGTACATCTCCACCTCACCTCCTCACAGAGGTTTTCTGTGCAAGGTGATACTGGAGCTTGAAGGGTCAATGAGACTTTTACCCACTAGGGGGCGCCCTTGCCTTAGTGGTGGCCAGAACTGAGGCTGTCCTGGTGGTTTATGTCAGGTATATAAGTGACTTCATAAAGGACAAGAAGCTATCCGATTCCCAGCCAGAGAATAAAGTGTGGGAGGGTGTGGAGAGATATAAAGAGGCAGCAAGACAAAGAGAGACAGGGACAGAAAGACAGACAGAACCAGCAATACAGGCAGAGAGACAGAGACAGACAGAGAAAACAGAAACAGACACACAACAGAACATGAATGGGTGAAAAAAGCCACATTTTCTGCTCTGAGAACTTGTCTCACCAGTGGGAGGGGAGGCCGTGTTCCCCCAACCACAATCTGCACGTGCGCGGGTCTTGGAAAGGGGCCCAGGCCTGAGACGTCTGGAGCTTATGATTGCTCCCCATGTGCCCAGAGCTCTGCTGAGGTGTGGGCCCCAGCTTGGACCCCAGATGCCATCTTGCCTGCGATGGAGACTGTGTTTTCTCCCAGAGCCAGTACACACACACTTGCTTTTACTGTCAAATGAGTAACACAAGATCTTCGGGGTCGGATAGACCTGGGTTCCAATTCAAGCACTTTCTCTCTGGGCCTTAGTTTCTTCATCTGCAAAATGGGAATACTAATAACATATTTTAGAGGCCCGTTTCAAGGTTTTGATGAAATAGTACCTGTGAGGCATTTATCATAGTGCCTGCCTTATGGTAAATGCTCAGAAATGTTAACTCTCATTATTTTACTCTAGCCCCCTAAAGGCCTTCCAAGACCCTGACCCTAACCCTCACCACCCTTCACCGGGGTTCCCCTGTCCCCTGGGATACGTTCTCTGTCTGCTGCTACGATTTCCTTTGTTTGCTTCCATACTCCTCACACCCCCGGGGTCGGACGGGCAAACAAGCGCGCAGGATTTGAAGCCAAGGACCAGGTTTGCCCAGCCCTTTTCAGCTGCACGTGGGCAAGTAACTCGAGTCCTCTGAGCCTCGATTTTCTCAGCTATAAGCAAGGAAAAAATGACTCCCTTGCAAGGTTGCTTTAAGGATTTAAAGAGTCCTCTGAAAATGGACCAGCATACCAGGCTGCCATGGTGAATAGCACAGGCCGGGAGCTTCAACACAGACATGTATGTTCTCACAGTTCTGGAGGCTGGAAGTTCGAAATCAAGATGTCAGCAGGATTTCCTTCTGAGACCTCTCTCCTTGGCTTCCAGACTGCCGCCTTTCCTGTGTTCTCACGTGGTCTTCCCTCTGTGTGTGTCTCTGCCCTGATCCCTCTTCGCATAAAGACGCCAGTCGGATTAGGGCCCATCCAGTGACCTCATTTAATTTAAATATCTCTTAGACTCATCTCCAAATAGTCACATCCTGAGGTACTGGGAATTAGGGCTTCGATGAAGGAAGTTGGGGGGACACAATTCAGCCCATAACAAACAATAATGCATAAATGTTATAATTATTTCTTCTTCCATATTTCCTATTATTTCTTATTTGTATTTCTTCTTTTATATCTTCACTATACCTGCCCTGTGCTAGGCGTATAGTAGATCCGGTATATTCTTGTAACTAACTGACTAGTTTCAGAAACAAGAATATATGCTGTGAATAAACTTCTCATCTGCAAATCAGGGAGACCCAAAGCTAAGGCGGAATACCGGTGGACCAGCGTTAAGCGAAAATCCAGATTCACATGAAAGGTACAATAGTCTTTAATGATATTTTTATAAAAGGCCTCACCACATATTCCAGTAGGTACTTTA